GTAACTCTCAGATATTGAATTCAAAACAATGGTTCTAAGGAAGCTCAACAAGCTCGATGAGCACAAAGAAAATTATCAAAAACTTCAGGGAAAATATGAGGAACTTACTGCAAATAATATCAACATGAAAAAGGACATAGACTATCAATCTATCAATAAGAGACAAGTGGAAATGAAGAATACCATTTCTGAATTGAAAAACACAGAAGAAGGAATCAACAGCAGGCTAAATGAAACAGAAGATAGAATCAGTGAGCTGGAGGATAAGGTAGAAAAAACCTACCAGAAAGAGCAAGAAATGGAAAAAAGACCAAAAAATAGTGAAGAGGTGTTGAGGGAAATGCAGGACAACCTGAAACATAATAATACCCGTAGAATAGGGATACCAGAATGACAAGAAGAGGAGCAAGGGATAGAGAACCTGTTTGAAAAAGTAATGATGGAAAACTTCCTAATTTGAGGAGAGAAAAAGTCTCAAAAGCACAGGAAGCACAGAGGGCCCCATTCAAGAGGAACCCAATGAGGCTCACTCCAAGGCACTTCTTCATTAAAATGGCAAATATCAAAGACAAAGAAAGAATCCTAAAGGCAGCAAGAGAGAAACAGGTAGTAACATACAATGGTGCCCTGATAATGCTAGCAGCTGACTTCTCAACAGAAACACTACAGGCCAGAAAAAAATGGCAAGAACTACTCCAAGTATTAAAAGCAAAGGCCTGCAACCAAGACTGCTGTACCCAGCAAGGCTCTCAATTAAAATGGAAGGCAAAATAAGGAGTTTCCCAGACAAGAGAAGGCTAAAAGAATGCATCTCCACCAAACCAGCACTGCAAGATATGCTAGAGGGACTGGATTAGGATGCTGAAGAAAAAGACTGAGAAAGAGATGAACACAGGTACAAAGGGAAAAAATGAGTAAGTATTTATCAATAAAAACTTTAAATGTAAATGAAAAAAAAAAAAGCCCTGATCAAAAGACACAGATAGCTGAATGGATAAGAAAAAATGACCCACACATGTAATGCCTATAAGAGACCCACCTCAGAACAAAGGACGTACACAAAGGACATACTGAAAGTAAAGGGATAGAAAAAAATATTTGAAGCAAATGGACAGGGGAAAAAAAGCAGAGGTAGCAATACTTAGACAAAATAGATTTCAAAACAAAGACCATAAAAAGAGAGCTAGAAGGACACTTTATAATACTGAAGGAAGAACCCATCAAGAAGATATAAACATTGTTAGTCACGTGTTGGAAGCATCCTAGATAGCCATAAAAAAATTATGGTACATTTACACAATGGAATACTCTGCAGCAGAAAGAAAAAAAGAACTACCATACTTTGCTACAGCATGTATGAAACTAGAGAGCATTATGCTAAGTGAAATAAGCCAGGGAGCTCATCTATAAGCAGAACCTAACCAACAAGACAAAGATGCAAGGAAAATAAGACCAGCAACACTGAAGGGAAAAGAAACCAACAGAGACAAGAGGGAAGGAGGAGGTTGGGGGAAAAGGAAGGAAAGGGGCAAGTCAAGGAACATATAGGAAGGACTCATGGACAAAGCCAAAGTGGGGAAGGATTGAGGGACAGAGGTGGGAGGGGGGCAAGGGAAAGCAGTGGGGGGGGGGAGGCGGAGCCAATGTATAAAAAAAAAAGAAAAAATAGATTAAAAAAAGAGAAGATACAAACATTGTAAACATATATGCAGCCAACAAAGGGGCACCCAAATATATAAGGAAAATCTTGAAGGACTTCAAGAAAGATATAGACAGCAACACACTGATCTATTTCTCTGCATCTATTGAGATAGTATGGGATTTTAACACCCCTCTGTAAAAAATGGACAGATCTTCCAAACAAAACATCAACAAGGATATTGTGAAACTGAATGATGCATTATATCAAAAGGACTTAAATGACATATATACCTTTCATCCCAAAGAAGCAAAATACACATTCTTTTCAAATGCACATGGAACACTTTCAAAGATAAACCATAGGATAAGTCACAAAACAAGCCTTAAGAAATCAGGAAAATTGAAATAATAAAAAGCATTTCAGGCCTACCTAAAAGAGATTGTAACATTTCAAATAAACAACCTAACCTTCCAGCTTCAAGAACCAGACAAATACAACAAATAAAGTCCAGAGCCAGTAGAAGGAAGGAAATAATCAAGATCAGAGCAGAATCGAATGACATAGAGACTAAAAGAACAATTCAAAGGAGCAACCAATCCAAGAGCTGGTTCCTTGAAAGATAAATCAAACAGACATCGATCAATCAAAGAGAATAGAGAGGCCAGAAATAAACCCATGTCTCTATGGTCAGTTAATATTCGACAAAGGGTGCAGGAAGCATAATATGGAATAAAAATAGCCTCTTAAACAAATGGTGTTGGGAGTTCTGGACAGCTACATGTGAAAAAATGAACCTCAACCACCAACTTACACCATACACAAAAATAAACTCAAGATGGGTAAAAGACTTAAATATAAGTTCCAACACCATTAAAGTCCTAGTGGAGAACATAGGAAGGAATCTCTCAGATATTCCATGCTGTAATATTTTCACTGATATGTCCCCTAGATCAAGGGACATAAAGGAAAAAATAAACAAATATTTTTGTTTATCAAATTTTGACTTCATCAAAATAAGAAGCTTCTGCATGGCTAAAGAAAACATCAGCAAAATGAAAATGTACAACGAACTGTATGGAAAAATATATTTGCCAATGATCCCTCACACTAGGATATGAAGAACTCACATGACCCCACTCCAGGAAGACAACGACTTCAATTATAAAATGGGCAAAGGACCTGAACAGATTCTTCTCCAAGGAGGACATACTCAGGGCCCAGAGACATACCAAATGATGCTCCATATCGCTAGCCATCAGAGAAATATAAATTAAATCTGCAATGAGATACCACTTCACATTGGTTAGAATGGCCATCATAAACAGACCAACAAACATTAAGTGCTGGTGAGGTTGTGGGGAACAGGGAACCCTAGTGCATTGTTGGTGGGAGTGCCAGCTGGTGCAGCCACTGTGGAAAACAGTTTGGAATTTTCTCAGAAAGGTAAAAATGTAACTTCCTTTTGCCCCAGAAATTCCACTGCTGGGATTAAACCCTAAGAATCCCAAAACACCAATTCAAAGAACCTATGCACCCCAATGCTCATAGCAGCACAATTTACAGTAGCCAAGTGCTGGAAGCAACCTAAGTGCCCATCAGTAAATGACTGGATCAAAATACTATGGTACATTTACACAATGGAATACTACACAGCAGAAAGAAAAAGCTACTACCCTTTGTGACATCATGGATGGAACTGGAGATCATTATGATAAACGAAGTCAACCAGGAGATGAAAGAAAAATACCACATGATCTCACCTATATTTGGCATCTAATCAACAAAACAAGCCAGAAAAATATGACTAGCAACACTGAAAGAAAAAAAACAACTGACAGTAGTGAGGGGAGAAGGGAGTGGTGTAACGGGTAAAAGAAGGAGAAGGGTGAAGTCAAGAAACATGTATAAAGGACCCATAAGCAAAGCCAACATGGGGAAAGATTGAGGTTGGGAGGTGGGGGTGGGTGGGGCAGGAGAAAGTAGTAGTGGGAAAATGGAGACAAATGTATTTGAACAATAAAAAATATGAATAAAGATAAAATAAAATATACTTAGTAAAAATAAATAACTAAATAAATAAAATACCAAGAGTCCTACTTAAATAATGGATTCATTGGTTTACATCCTTCATTCCCATGTTGTATGATATGTGGTGACCAGCTATCCAACAAAGCCATGAAACCTTTACTGCTTCACCACATGGAGACAGCACCTTGCATTAAAAGAAAAACCTTTGGAGTTTTTCAAAAGAAAAAATTGTGAACACAAAGAACAGAAGCAATTGGTGAAGGCCATTACTTTGTCAAATGGGTCTGCACTGAGAGCATCACTTAATGGCTAAGTGCATTGCTAAAACTCAAAAGCCCTTTACTACTGATGAAGAGTTGATCCTGCCTGCTGCTAGGGACATTTGTCATGAACTTTTAGGAGACGCTGCAGTTCAAAAGGTGGCACATGTTCCTGTGTTGGCTAGCACCGTAACTAGGCAAATTGATGACTAGCAGAGGATACTGAGGCACAATTGTGAGAGAGGATTAATGAGTCACCATGGTATGTAATCCAGGTTGACAAGTCTACCAGTGTTTACAACAAGGCAACAATGCTTATTTTATGTGGTATATTTTTCAGGAGGATGTGCATGAGGAAATGTTATGTGCACTTCTGTTGCCAATCAACACAACAGCTGCAGGACTATTCAAATCTTTGAATGATTATATATTAGGAAAACTTAATTGGTCATTTTCTGTCAGTATATGCATGGACTGAGCATCTGCCGTGACTGGATGGCTGGTTTCACTACTCAGGTCGAAGAGGTCGCTTCTGAATGTGAATTTATGCACTGTCATCCGTAGAGAAATGCTGGCTAGCCAAAAAGTCCCCTGAACTTAACAATGTTTTGCAAGATGTGATTAAAATTATCAACCACATTAAAGTACGTGCCCTTAACTCATGTCTGTTCATGCAACTCTGTGAGGAGATGGACACAGAGCACATATGTCTTCTCTTATACACAGAAGTGAGATGGCTTTCTAAAGGTGGATCACTGGTCAGAATTTTTGAGTTACAAGAGTCACTTCATAGATTTCTTTTAGAAAAACAGTCACCACTGGCAGTATACATCAGTGACACAGAATGGATCACAAAACTTGCTTACTTGTGCGACATATTCAGCTTCCTCAGTGAGCTAAATCTGTCACTTCAGGGGAGAATGACAACTGTGTTCGAGTCAGCAGATAAAGTGGCTGCGTAAAAAGCCAAACTGGATTATGGGTGTGATGAGTAAACATTGGGATTTTTGATGTTTCAAACATTAGCAGAGATTTTGAAAGAGGCTGATCCAGGGCCTTCTTTCTCTCAGCCGGTGCATGATCACCTATCTCAGCTTTCAAAGGAGTTCGAGCATTACTTTTCAACCACAAAAGACTTCCAAACTGGGAAGGAATGGATTTGCAACCCATTTGTGAGTAATCTAAGGGAATTGACTTTGTGCATGCTAGAAGAGGATTAACTGCTTGAGATCACAAATAATGGGAGCCTTAGTATGTTTGAGACAACTTCATATCTCCATATGTTCTGGATTAAAGTGAGGACAGAATATCCTGAGATTGAAACAAAAGCACTGAAAAACCTTCCACTCCCAACTTCCTATCTTTGTGAAGCAGGATTTTCTGCAGTGACAGCAACCAAAATGAGATTACAGAGTAGACTGAACATAAGCAGCACATTTCAGGTGTCACTGTCTCCCATCACCCCCAGGGGAGACCATCTACCACATTTTGCCATGTATTATGTGCAATTTTTCCTCTAATTTTTGAGGGAAAAATAGGTTTGCACATTATACATGAATAGTACTAATCATATATATATATATATATATATATATATATATATATATATATAAATGTTTTTATTTATTTTGTTTATGCTTATGTGTTAAAAGTATAACTCTAGAAAGCAATAATGATACTCATATGCAAAATAATACCCTGAAATATGATAATTGGCTTTGTTTCTAAATGTAAATAAATTAAAAATTGAATTAAAATGAAAGATGTTTTTCCTGAAAGTCTGAGTAAAAAACATGGGTGTGCATTATACATGTCAAAATATGGTAGTCGCATAAAGACAACCTCAGGGCTCTCACTGATTCTGCATTATGGTGAGTTGCATAATTATTTCATTATATATTACAATGTAATAGTATTAGAAATGAAATGCACAATAAATGTAATACACTTGAATCATCCCGAAATCATCCCTCCACTTCTCTCCGCGAAAAGAACTGTCTTCCACAAAGCTGGTCCCTGGTGCCAAAAAGGTTGGGGACCGCTGGTTTAGGACATAATTGCTCACTGAGTGAATGAATCTATGTTACATAGTCTCTTTCCCAAATCATCCAGCATGACAAACACTCTGGCCAAGGTCAATCTAAAGTAAACAGAACTCTTTGCAAGCTAACAAACAGGGAAAATATATGCTTGCACATAACATAAATGGACAAAGACAAAAATCTACTAAAACATTACCCAAATGCTAATAATGATTTTCTCTAAGTGGTAGTAATACAGGCAATTGCTGGGTTGATTTATTTCTTCTTGTTTTGTTTTAAAGAGAAGTCCATGTGATTATTTCTCTTTTTCAGTTATTTATAATATCTTTTTTATTGTCTTGCTTACGCTATTAAAATTGTCCCACTTTCTCCCCTTTGCCCTCCTCCAGCTTACCCCCCACTTCCATAAAGTCATCTCACCATTGTCCATGTCTATGGGTCCTTCATATATGTTCTTTGACTAATCCCTTCACCTTCTTTCAATCAGTTCCCACCTTCCCACTCCCCACTTACAGCTGTCAGTCTTTTCCATGATTCTGTACCTCTGGTTCTGTTTTGCTCATTTTTTTTTATTTTGTTCATTAGATTCCTTTTATAAATGAGCACATATGGTATTTGTCTTTGGGCAACTGACTTATTTCACTTAGCACGGTAGTCTACAGTTCCATCCATACTGTTGGAAAAGGTAGGAATTCTTTCTTTTTTCTTTTTTTTTTTTTAATGATTTTCAGCATTTGTTTTTTTTTTTTCCATTTCCTATACTGTTCTTTTTTTTTTTAATTTACTTACTTTTTAAATACATTTGTTTCTGCCTTCCCCCCACCTCTTTCCCTTGCCCCCTCCCACCTTCCCTCCCTCAGCCCTTCCCCTTTGGTTTTGTCCATGAGTCCTTGCTATATGTTCCTTGACTTTCCCCTTCCCTTCCCTTTCCCTGCCCCCGCCCTTCCCTCTTGTCTCTGTTGATTTCTTTTCCTTTCAGTGTTGCTGGTCATATTTTCCTTGCTTCTTTGCATTGCTGGTTAGGTTCCGCTTATAGGTGAGATCATATGGTATTTGTCTTTCGCCCCCTGGCTTATTTCGCTTAGCATAATGCTCTCCAGTTCCATCCATGCTGTCGCAAAGTTTAGTACTTCTTTTTTTCTTTCTGCTGCGAAAATTATGGTACATATACACAATGGAATACTACGCAGGAATTCTTTCTTTTTGCTGCTGTGTAGTATTCCATGACATAGATGTACCACAGATTTTTTTAATCCATTTATCTACTGATGGGCACTTAGGCTGTTTCCAAATTTAGCTGTTGTAAGTAGTGCTGCTGTGAACATGGGAGTGCATAAAGTAGTTTGAATTGGTGTTTCTAGATTCTTCGGGTATATTCCCAGCGGTGGAATCACTGGGTTAAAAGGCAGTTAGTTCCATTTTTAGGTTTGTGAGAAAATTCCATTCTATTTTCCACAGTGACTACACCAGTCTGCATTCCACCAGCAATGGGCTAGGGTTCCCTTTTATCCACATCCTTATCAGCAATTGATTTTGTTGATTTATTAATGATAGCCATTTTGGCAGGTGTGAGGTGATATCTCGTTGTGGGTTTAATTTGCATCTCTCTCTGATGGCTAGTGATGTTGAGCATCTTTTCATGTGTCTATTCACCATCTGTTTGTCCTCCTTAGAGAAATGTCTGTTCATGTCCTTTGCTCATTTATTTAATTGGATTTTTGTCTTCCTGGTGGTGAGTCATACAAGTTCTATATTTTAGAAATTAAATGTACCACTGTCAAATATGTTCTCTCATGCAGTCAGTTCCCTATTGATTTTGATGATGGTTTCTTTAGCTGTGCAGAAGCATTTCAATTTGACATAGTCCCATTTGTTTACTTTGTCCTTTATTTCCTTTGCCCTCGGAGAATATTAGCAAAAATATTTTACATGAGGTATCTGAAATTTTCCTGCCTAAATTTCCCTCTAGAATTTTTATGGTATTACAATTTATATTTAAGTCTTTTATCTATCTCGAGTTTATTTTTGTGTATGGTGAAAGTTGGTGGTTGAATTCCACTTTTTGCATGTAGCTGTCCAGCTCTCCCAACATCATTTGTTGAAGAGGCTATTTTTACTCCATTTTAAGCTGCTGCCCCCTTTGTCAAATATTAATTGACCATAGAGACATGGTTTCTTTCTGGGCTCTCTATTCTGGTCCATTGATCTATGCATCTGTTCTTCTGCCAGTACCAGACTGTTTTGATTATAGTGGCCTTGTAGTGTAGTTTGATATCACGTATTGTGATCCCTCCAACTTTGTTCTTCTTTCTCAAGATTGCCAAAGTTATTCAGGGTCTTTTTGGTTCCATATAAATTTTTGGAATATTTGCTCTAGATCTGTAAAATAGGCCATTGGTATCTTAATAGGAATTGCATTGAATCTGTAGGTTGCTTTGGGTAGTATGGACGTTTTAATGATGTTAATTCTTCCAATCCATGAACATGGTATATGCTTCCACTTATTTCTATTTTCCTTAATTTCTTTCTTCAGTGTCATATAGTTTTCCAAGTACAGATCTTTTACATTCTTGGTTAAATTTATTCCTAGTTACTTTTTTTTTGTTGCAGTAGTAAATGGGATTGTTTTCTTAGTTTCTAATAGTTCATTATTAGTGTATAAAAATGCCACTGATTTCTGAGTATTGACTTTGTATATTGTTACTTTTCCAAATTCACTTATTATGTCAAATAGTTTTTTGGTGGGGCCTATAGAGTTTTCTATGTAAAATATCATGTCATCTGCGAATAATGACAGCTTTACTTCCTCTTTTCCAATTTGAATGCCTTGTGTTTCTTTTTCTTCTCTAATTACTGTGGCTAGGACTTCCAGTATTATGTTGAGTAAGAGTGGTAAAAGTAGACACCCCTGTCTTGTTCCTCATCCTATAGGAAGCACTTTTGGGTTTTGCCCATTGAGTATGGTGTTCGCAATAGGATTTTCATATATATGGCCTTTATTATGTTGAGGTGTACTCCCTCTATTCCTATCTTGCTGGGTGTTTTTTTATCATAAATGCATGTTGGATTTTATCAAATGCTTTTTCTGCATCTATTGCTATGATCATGTGATTTGTCTTATTTTGTTTATGTGATGTATCACATTTATTGATTTGTGGATATTGTAACATATTTGCATCCCTGGAATAAATCCCACTTGATCATGGTGTATAATATTTTTCATGTATTATTGGATCTTGTTTGCTAATATTTTGTTAAGGATTTTAGCATCTATGTTCATCAGTGCTATTGGCCTGTAGTTTTCTTTCTTTTTTGTGTCTTTACCTGGTTTTGAAAATAGGATAGTACCGGCCTCATAAAAAGGGTTTAGAAGTCCTCCCTCTTCTTGCATTATTTGGAATAGTTTGAGAAGATTAGATATTAGTTATTCTTTGAATGATTGGTAAAATTCACCTGTGAAACAATCTGGTTCTGGGCTTTTGAGTCCCCGGAGTTTTTTGATTACTGCTTCAATTTCACTGGTTGTTATCTTTCTGTTCATATTTTCTGCTTCTTCCTGACTCAGTTTTGGAATATTTTGTGTTTCTAGAAATGTATCTGTTTTGCCCAGGTTGTCCAATTTATTGGCATATAGTTGTTCATAGTAATTTTTTACAACCCTTTGTATTTCTGTGGTATCAGTTGTTACTTCTCCTCTTTCCTGTTTGATTTTATTTATTTGGGTATTCTGTATTTCTTTTCTTGATGAGATTGGTTAATTGTTTGTCAGTTTTGTTTATCTTTTCAAAGAACCAGCTCCTGGATTCACTGATTTTTTTGAATTGTCTTTTTTTTTTTTTTTTTTTAGTCTCTATTGTAATTTATTTCTGCTCTGATCTTGATTATTTCCTGCCCTCTACTCTCTCTGGGCTGATTGTTGTTGTTTTCCCAGTTCTTTTAGGTGTAAGGTGGCATTGCTTATTTAAGATTTTTCTTTCTTCTTTAGGTAAGCCTGTAATGCTGTGAACCTCTTTCTCAGGACTAATTTTGCTGTGTCCCATAGATTTTGGGTTGTTGTGTGTTCATTTTCATTTGTTTCCAGATACTTCTTGATTTCTCCCTTGATTTCATTGTTAACCCTTTCAT